CTTATCGGCACTGGAGACAAGAGTCTTTCATTGCTGTAATCCAGTGGTTCTCTCAACCTTTCCAGACCACTGTACCCCTTTCAGGAGGCTGACTTGTACCTCCAAGTTTAATCTCACTTAAAAACAACTTGCTTACAAAATCAGACATAAAAATACAAGTGTCACAGCCACACTATTACTGAAAAAATGCTGACTTTCTCATTTACCATCTAATTATAAAATAAATCAACTGGAATTTAAATGCCATACTTACATGTCAATGTACAGTATATATAGAGCTGTATAAACAAGTCATTGTCAGTATGAAATTTTAGTTGTACTGACTTCGCTAGTGCTTTTTATGTAGCTTGTTGTAATATCTAGATGAGTGGATGTACCCCCTGGAAGAGCTCTGCGTACCCCAGGGGGACGCGTACTCCTGGTTGAGAACCACTGCTGTAATCATACCAATAGAGATTCTACCATCTGCCCCACCACTAAGGGGCAGTGTCTCTCCATTCTGTACACCTTCACCGGCACCCAACATAAAAACGACAGACCTGATTCTCCATAGCCCGGCGGCTGGTGCAGTCATTGCCACCGAGGTGCCTTTAAGAGCAAGTGAAACTGAGCCAATTCCTTTTTGTCCTACAGGGACCGGGACATGGAGAACAATTGATCACTGTCCTCTTTATAGCAGCCCTTCACATCTTTGAAAATCGATCATGCCCCTTTCCTGGACCTACCCTCCTTTTCTCCGGGCACTAAGCCCTGGTCTATGCTAGAAAATTAGGTCAATTGCACTAGTTGGTCACACTAGTGTGTGAAAAATGCACACACCTGAGTGGCGTAGCTAAGCCAACCCAAGTCCCCGTGTGAACAGCTACCGCTTCTCAGGCAGGTGGACAGGCAGCATCTACACTGAAGTGGCTACAGCAGTGGCGCCTTTTAAGTGCAGACTGGCCCTACAGTCAAAATGCATATGCAAAGGCAAGCAGTCAATGCTGTGCTGCATTAGGAGGTCAGGCACATACCAATCTTGTAGTGAAGCTTTTAGTTGGTTTACACCAGTCTAAGTTAGGGAGGGAGAGAACAAACCAAGGAGCAAACCCAAACTGAAACACAGCTTCACACTCACAGGCCAGAAGCTATTTCTAACTGCAGTTAAAGAAGGCAACTTTGGAGAAGCCACAGCCTGCTGGGAACAATGAAAAAGGCCCCATTTAACTGCTTCCGTGGCGGCAGCATCCATCTCACCAAGAAGGAAGTTTGCTAACTCATTTCTTCAATGAAGCAGCCTCTGACTGCACAGTGGCTTGACAGTGGATCCCAGGGGTGGGTGTGTGTGCGCGTGTTTTCCAAACTCCCCTTCTGTCCCTGATCAGTTCTGGGAAACTGGAGGGCGGGGTCCCCCATGTCTTCAGCAAATACTCCCCCCCCCCCACAAACCTCACCGCCCCATTGCTCCTGCAAACACCAGCGACAGGGATCCCCACGAATCTGTGCTCCAGCTGCCCCCCTTTTCCTTCAGCAGAGCTCCCTGCAGCACCCCATCCCTGGGGGATCCCAGTGCAGGGGTCCCCCCCACAGACTCTGCAGAGACTGCGAGCTGGCTGCTCTGCTCCCCACCCCTCAAAGAAGGGAAGTTTCCACCCCGGAGAGGGAGCCCCCTCATGGCCCCCTTTCCCAATTCCTGCCTGGGGGAGGGGGCACTAGCAATCTGTCTCACTCTGGTTCTGCAGCTTGGCCCCCGATGGCGTTTTCCCCAGGAACTGAAATCAGAGCAGGTGTTCAAATGTACAGGGGGAGGGGGTCTGGAAAATGACAGAATGGGCAGCACAGCATGTAACTAGTGACCACTAAAGGGGGATGTGGGACTTCGGGAGGGGGGGCGGGGTACCCTGGGAAGCTGGGTCTAATAAAGCCCAGCACAGACAGCGCTTGACACCCAATCGACAGGATGAGGTGAGAGTGGGGTGATGGTGCACGTGGGCTGGTACAGTACGTGCACCCGGCTGCATTGGACAATCTCAACTCCTTATAGGGACTCTTCAGATCAGGTCCCTTTGCTCCTCCCCCACCCCCATCCCCGCCCCACCCAAGGGAGGAGGGAATCTCAAAGTCTTCCAGAAAGAAAGAGAAAGAAAGATGCCCCAGGGGAGAGAGTGCAGGAATGAGGGGTCTCTGTCCAGCAGTGCTGGGAACTCTGGGTGAAGTCTGTGGATCGCGTCAGCTATGCAAGGAGTAGGTGACTTCTGGGTATTCTTCTGGCTCTGTCAATCCTCTTGATAGAGATCCTGCATTTGCTCCAATCCCTCAGACAAAGACAAACACCTACAGGATCTCTCTCAAGTGTTCTTAAAACTACAGGACCCACCTGGTGAAGTGAAGAAACAGACTGACAGAGCCAGAAGGGTACCAAGAAGTCACCTACTACAGGACAGGCCCAACAAAGAAAGTAACAGAACGCCACGAGCCGTCACCTACAGCCCCCAACTAAAACCTCTCCAGGAAAAGTTTTGTTCCCTTCCCCTCTCCGTTCCAAGCCACCAGGAACAGAGTCTGTCCCAGTCTCAGATAAGCCTGAAAGTCTTCCCACATTGTTCCATGCCTCCCTTTTCGTCTTTCAAAAGCACTTCTCTCCCGCCTTTAGTGCGGACTGACCTATGGGTTTCTCAGCAAAGGCTCCCCCAGCACATCTGGAAGGATCGGCCCAGTGGGGACCAAAAAACCTTTGTACCAGGAAATGACTGTACTGAGAGCACCTCATAACTACCTGCCCTAGGCCCAGCCACAATGCTGCCCCCTTGTAGGGGGGCGAGAGAGTTTGCTGGGGTGTCCCATCGCAGCTGGAGCCTGACAGCTAACAACGGGGTGTGTTGCACATTGTTGTCATGAGCCATAAAATCAGGGTCTCTGTTGAGTCAATGTTTTTTGGTGTCTAGCAGAGTTATGAATTCAAGTTCCCAGTCTCACCTTCGGAAGGTGCTTGTGCAGGTTCCCTAAGAGGACAAGTATTGAAATATCCGTGAAAAATCAGCTATTCGCCCAGCGCTACTCACATGGAAAGTCCCTCCAGGGAGATGATTTAAACTGTCTTTTACTTGCAAGTGTCTGACATTTTCAAAGCTATTAATCTGTTCGTTGATACCACAAGCATTTGCCACAATTTACAATGCATGTGCTTCCCTCGCCGCAATGAAACTCAATCTTCATGCTGTGCTTTCAGAGGAGCGCTGCAGTTATTAAAATCTGCTTGGATAGGAGACATCCGTTTCTGTGCCTCAGTCACCGCTCTCTCTAACTGGTGGGAAGGCGGCCCTGGCAGAGCAGGCCCCACACCTCCATCTGCGGCTTGGCCTGGCTCCCGTTGACTGCTCCCCAGTGACTGCCCTTGGCTCACTGTACTCATGGCCTCCCGCCTTGGCTGCGGTGCTGCCCTCTGGCCCGGGCCACTGCACCAGAGACTCCAGCCCCCCAGGAGATGCAGCCCAGCCTGGCTCCCAGCAGGGGCTCAGGAGCTGCCTCCCCCCGCCCGGCTTTGCTCTAGGAAGCCTCCACTATATGGCAAAGCTCAGGCCTGCCCAGAGACCCCAACTGCAACCCCCAGGAGCCCCCTCCCCCAGGCACCAGCTCCCTAACTGGGGCTCCTAGGAAAGCCAAGACGCAGTCGCTGCCCCTCTCCACCAGACCTGGGCACAGACCCCCCCCGGCCTGGAGCCATCTCCCCTCTGCTCATTGTTGGTCGCATTGCTGACACCAGGCAGTATCTGCCGCTCTGCACTGGCGGCCTGGCCACGCTGCTGCAGCCACGGCCCACCCCACAGGTGGCAGACGAGGCGTAAAGCTGATCTGAGGCTCTGGGCCCATAAGCAAGGCCCTGAGTACCCAGGCCGGCCGGAAGCCGTTCTGCAGCCGCTTTAGACACTTCCAGGCAGAGGAAATGCGGAGCCTGCTGAGGGCCACGGCACGCTAGTGATTTCCAGAGGCAGCGACCGATGGTGTCCCCATGCCAGCTGGTCTCGCAGCACAGCAGGATGGTGACCTGAGCCAGCCTAGCCCCGTCCCACCTGGCGGCCAGAGAACCTGGGAGGGAGGAGGTCCAATGCGTTGGGACTGCAATGAACAGACCCCTCCAGCTGCGGTGCCAAGAGGCTGGGACGTGAGACAGTTAAGGGCATTGCAAAGGATCATGCCCCCTGAGAGGAGGGAGGCAGCTGGCTCCTCTCAGAGCGACTAGCACAGAGCAGGGAGGCGGCACTGCCCACGGTCACACACATTGTGGCGGCAACAAAAGCCCCCAAAGAGACATTTCTCCGAAGTGGAGCCAGGATGAAGCCATAGCAACCCCGGGTGCCTGTGCCCAGCTGGCATTCCCCTCAGGGGCGCTTGGTGTGGTCAGGCCATGGGGCCCAGTGCCTGCCCACTGCAGACACCCCACAGCGCCCTGGGAATGTCACGGGTTTATTTTCATTTTGTAACCAAACATTTTAGAAAATTCATTTGAAGCTGCTCCCCCAACCCACATCCCTCCCCGCAGCCCCTCCCCTGTTTCCCACAAGCCTGCATTGAGTGCTGGCATCCCCCTGCTTCTGTGCCCCCGCCCCGCGCACAGCTAAGCAGCTGCAGGGTGGGTTTTGGCTTGGCTGGGCCACACGGCAGGGTCCAGGGTGTTGGGGCAGCAGCCCGGGCAGCACCAGCCAGCAAAAGGGGAGAAAAAGGGGGTCAGGCACTGCCTGGGCACAGCCCCCATTCCCTGAGCCCCACCCCTGAGCAGGGCCCCACCCTCCAGGAAGCTCTGCCCCCATGTTTGCTACCTGGGGCTGGAGGAACCATGACTGCTGGCAGCAGCTTCACTCACACTCGGTACCGGGACGGGTCCAGCCACCCCCATTTCTGGGCAGTGGGCGGGGAGTGGCCATGCAAGAGTGCAGACTGTGGTCAAGGCCAGGCCAGGCCCATCCCAGCATGGGGGGTGTGGGAGGCACCGGATGCCGGTGACTGTCCTGGGGGAGGGGATGTCACTCAGCAGCATGCACCCGCTGGTGCAGCAGGAGGTTGGAGCTGCGGGTGTAGCCACGCCCGCACTGCCCGCAGCGGAAGGGGCGTTCCCCAGCATGGGAGCGCTGGTGGCGAAGCAGGGCCGAGTGGTGGCGGAAGCGGTGCCCGCAGCGGGGGCACTCGTGAGGTTTCTCGCCCGTGTGCCGCCGGCGGTGCTCCACCAGGCTGGCCAGCTGGGCAAAGCGCCGCCCGCACTCAGCACAGGTGTGGGGCCGGGCGTCCGTGTGGCCCCGCTGGTGCCGCAAGAGGTTGGCCCGGTCGGCGAAGGCCTGGCCGCAGTCAGGGCAGGTGTGGGGGCGCTGGCCGGCATGGGCGCTGCGCTGGTGCTGCCGCAGGTAGGAGCTCTGTGTGTAGCTGCGCCCGCACTCCTCACAGCGGTGGGGGCGCTCGCCCGTGTGCACCAGCTGGTGCCGCAGCAACGTGGCGCTCAGGGCAAAGGCTTTGCCGCAGACCGGGCAGGGGAAGGGGCGTTCGCCCGTGTGCGCCAGCCGGTGCCGGAGCAGGTGGGCGCGGTGGTGGAAGCGGCGGGGGCAGTCTGGGCAGGCGTGGGGCTGTTCGACACGGTGCGTCCGCAAGTGCCGTGCCAGCGTGCAGCGCAGCCCGAAGCTCTTGCCGCAGTGAGCGCAGGCGTGGGGGCGCGGGCTGGCGTGGGCACCCTGCTGGTGCTGCGCCAGGTGGGCGCTCTGCCGGAAACTCTGCCCGCACTCCCCGCAGCGGTAGGGACGCTCGCCGGTGTGCACTCGCTGATGCACCAGCAGCGCCGAGCTGCCGGCAAAGGCCTTGCCGCACGCCAGGCAGGGGAAGGGGCGCTCGCCCGTGTGTGCCCGTTGGTGCGCGGCCAGCGCCGCGCCGTCGCAAAAGCCTTTGCTGCAGGTGGTGCAGACGTAGGGCCTCTCGCTCGCATGTAGCAGCTGGTGCCTGGTCAGCGTGGCGCTCTGCCGGAAGCTCTTCCCACACTCGCCACATTTAAAGGGCCGCCTGACGGTGGGGTCTCTGTGCCGCGCCGGCTCTGCATCAGCGCTACCTCCCGGCATGGCCTCCTCCACCCTGGCCCTGCCCCCGGGCACCGCCTCCTCTGCCCCTGCAGCAGGGTCTTTGTGCCACGCTCCCCCCACCGGCTCCACATCAGTGCTGGTGCCATCCCTTCCCGGTGCAGCATCCTCTGCCCCAGCCACGCTCGCCAGCCTCTCACCTGCAGGAACAAATGGGCAGTCAGGCCGGAGCTGTCCCCACAGGAGGACAGGGCCCCAACTACGGCACCGCCCACGTGGCCCCGCCCCTTCCTGGAGCCGGTTTCTGAGCAGGGATTGAAGGGGACGGTCACACCTCTTGCAGCTTTTTCAGGCTGCTGCCGATTCAGGCAGGCATCAGCACCAGCCAGCACACGTTCACAGGCTTTTCTTTGCCTCTGTGTGGGCTGGAAATATTATTTGCTTTTTCAGTGAGAGCCAAGACCTGGCTCTCATATGGTTCTGGGGGCCCTGGCGCAGGTGGTGGGATGGGTGCCAGGTGCACACAGATCAGGGAGAGGGTGGTGACAACCTCGGAGAGGAGCTGGGCCAGGAGGGCTTGCAGGGGTGGCTGTGGGGGGTCCCAGCTACCCCCACCCCTCTCAGCTGGGCTTATTAATCCCTCACCTGTTTGGGGGCCCGGCCAGCTCTCGTCATCCTCGTCTTTGCTGAGATCTGGGACTTGCAGCTCTTCCCCTCGCTCCATCCAGTATCGGGATTGGGGCCCTGCTGGGAGAGAACAGAGCAGGTGGGATCCAAGTAAATACCCACCCGGCTCGGCATTCATCTGCCACTCGGGGCTGGCATGGACGAGACAGCCAGGAAACGCCTGTGGAAACACAGGAGGGTTAATTCAGACACAAACAATCAGAGTGGAGGGGAGACGACCCCAGGGCTCCCCGAGCCATAGTGCCAGCGTGGCTCCACAGCCGCTCACTAACATGGGGTAGAAAAGCCCCTTGAACCAAACTGGCTCCGTGCAGCGCCAGGACTGAGCCTCTGAACGGGACGGGTGGGAAACAGCTGGCCTGGCTAAGGCCACCCTGTGTGGTGAACACAAACTCTGGGCAAAGGAGCAAGTCAAGGAAGTGCCAGTTACCTCAGCCCATGTCCCGTGAGCCAACAGCCCCACCGGGGACTCCACTGCATGGGGCAGAGCCAGCGATCCCCTCAGTCACAAGGGGGTGGCAGAGACTCCTGCACTTTCCAGAGCAGACTGTGTACTCAGGCCCTGCAGGCCCCAGAGCACACGGCCTGGCCCCCAGGGTTCTACAGGGAACAGCTCTGTGGTCTTCTGAGCCGCAGCGCTCTGAGCGTGCTCCTGCTAGAAACATTTGACAGCATCACCCCACTGGACTCGACCTAGGGAGGACACGCCTCACGCTAATGAGGAAACCCCCCCTCACTCCACAGCACTCCCAGGGACCCCTGCACTGCCACCCCCGCCGCTGGGACAGCGCCCCAACTCCTTGGCCCAAGGAGCGTCTTCGTTCTGTGCTTGTGCAGGGCCCGGCAACATAAGGCCTGATCTCCAAACGGCTCTGAGTGCTACCGCAAAGCAGCCCCTCTCCCGACTCCCCCTCATCACGGAACCATAGGACTGGAAGGGACCTCGAGAGGTCATTGAGTCTAGTCCCTTGCACTTGCGGCAGGACTAAGCATTACCCCTGACAGGTGTTTCTCTAACCTGCTCCTAGAAATCTCCAGTGATGGAGATTCCACAGCCTCCCTAGGCAATTTATTCCAGTGTCTAACCACCCTGACAAGAAGTTTTTCGTAGCGTCCAACCTCAACTGCCCTTGCTGCAATTTAAGCCCATTGCTGCTTTATCCTCAGAGGTTAAGGAGAACAATTTACCTCCCTCCTCCTGGTAACAACCTTTTATGTACTCGAAAACTGTTAGCATGTCCCCTCTCAGTCTTTTCTTCTCCAGACTAAACAAACCCACTCCTTTCAATCTTCCCTCATAAGTCATGTTTTTTAGACCTTTAATCATTTTAGTTGCTCTTCTCTGGATTTTCTCCAATTTGTCCACATCGCTCCTGAAAGGTGGCGCTCAGAACTGAACACAGTATCCAGTTGAGGGCATATCAATGTGGAGTAAAGCGGCAGAATTACTTCTTGAGACTTGCTGACAACACTCCGGCTAATACATCCCGGAATGATGTTCCTTTTTTTTGCAACAGTGTTACACTGTTGACTCATATTTAGCTTGTGATCCACTCTGACCCCCAGACCTCTTTCCGCAGTACTCCTTCCTAGGCCGTCATTTCCCAGTTTGTGTGTGCGCAACTGATTGGTCCTTCCTACGTGGAGTACTTTGCATTTGTCCGTATTGAATTTCATCCTGTTTACTTCAGACTATTTTTCCAGTTTGTCCAGATCATTCTGAATTTTAACCCTATCCTCCAAAGCACTTGCAACCCCTCCCAGCTTGGCATCGTCCACAAACTTTATAAGTATGTGTGCTCTCTATGCCATTATCTGAATCATTGAAGATATTGAACAGAACTGAACAGAACCCTAACCCAGAACTGATCCCTGTGAGACCCCACTCGTTATGCCCTTCCAGCATGACTGTGAACCACTGATAACTACTCTCTGGGAATGGTTTTCCAACCAGTTCTGCACCCAACTTATAGTAGCTCAGGGTGGATAAAATTCAAAAAAAAAATTTCAATAAAAAAAAATCAGTTTTTATTTAAATCAGATTTTTTTGATAAAATGCTTTTTGAGGCAATATCCTATCTAATGATAGTTTTAATTAAGATACATTATAGCTCAAAGATCTCTCATCATGGAATAGGGATTATAAATTATAGTTCTGTAGTATGAGACAATATATTCATGTAATATTTAAGAAAAGTTTTGTAAATGAGTTCCAATAGTTCATGGATTAGGGACACAATCTTATGGGGTTCCAGGGGCTTCTATATAAATTATTTAGGTTAATCTTGCTATCTACCCAATGGGACTCAGTGCTCAGTCTAGAAGATACCATCAGAGATGCTTAGTTTTGCAGTTCTCAAAATGTGGATTTGTGTCTCCAGAGATAACATGCTTGTTAACAGCAAAAATGTTTTTAAATAAATAAATAATATATAGTGGTGAGAAATAACAGAACTCAACCCTATTGTCCCTCTGCAAATTTGTGTACACAGAGTCAATCCCTTACCTCTCTGTAAAAGTGCAAAGTTTCAAAAAGTTCAATGAATAGAAGATTGTTGGGGGCGGAATAGATCTGGACAAGGAGAAGAAGTCTGGAGATAAATGTGAGAAGGGAGGGACAGGCAGTAGAAACAAAAGTGAAACTGTTTGAGCAGCATATTCCAGAAGTCTTGAGGTCTTTCTGAGTGTAGCCTTCATTGATTTGAGATCTACCATACCAGATCTACCATACCATTCTCTCACTAGAAGGGAAAACTTACAATGGCAGCAGGTCGTAAAAGAGACCCAGTTTGGGAATATTTTAATGAAGTTCCTCTACCTGTGGGTAGGACAGACATGCGTGCAAAATGCAAACAGTGCAATAAAGAAATGCAAGGCCTGGTTGACCGAATGAAACATCATGAGACGTGTTCCTTCTCAGGAGGAAGCTGCGTTGAAGATGATGAAAAGAACGTGTCTAAACATGCAGGATCTTCACGTTGGTAAACTTTTTTATTTCATACTTCTTTCTTAAGAACTGCCTGTCTTCCTTCTGGACTATTCTTGAATTCTCATGTTTGAGCAAAAAATATAGTTTTTACTCTATGGTACTATCATTTTAGATGTAGTTGTGAGAAAAAATGAATAGCTGAAATAGGCAGATCTTCCTTCACCTTTAAAGTAGTACCAAGTGTCAGTGAATGCAATGAGTAATACTAAATGAGCAGTATGGTAATAATAATTAAATAACTGCATTGACTTATTTTGTTTAGGAGAATCCATCCTCAACATACAGGATTCTGAAGACTATCCACCTTCAAGATCACCATCATTTTCTATAGTTTCAGAGTTATCTGCCAATGACAGTGTTTCAGTCACATCATGTATGTCACAGAGCAACAGTATATCACCTGTAGCAAAAAGAAAAAAAAAAATCTCCATCATCCAGAAACAACCATTGATAAATTTGTGATAAGAACCAGCAGATTACAACAAGAGGTAATTCATGAAAAAATTGCCCGGTTTGTTTATGCAACAGACTCCCCTTTCCGTATGATTGAGAACCCACACTTCATTAACATGGCTCAGTCATTAAGACCAGGATACAGTCCACCCAACAGAGCAGATGACGCAGGCAAATTGCTGGATAAAATGTATGAAAGAGAAATTGAGCAGTGTGCAAAAGGTCTAGAGGGTGAAATTGTTAACCTGAGTCTTGATGGGTGGAGCAATGTCCACAATGATCCTGTTGTATGAGCTTGTGTGACAACAGAAGACGGGAATGTCTTCCTTATAGAAACAATTGATACATCAGGAAATGCACACACAGCAGAATACTTACAAGAAGTAGCAGTAAAAGCTATAACAAACTGTGAAAAAAAATTCAAATGTCTAGTACGCAGCTTGGTCACAGACAATGCTGCTAATGTATCCAAGATGAGAAGAAAATTATTTAGAAGAGAGTCCTAAGTTAATAACATATGGTTGCAGTGCTCATTTGATGCACCTCCTAGCCAAAGACTTCATTGTTCCAGAAATAAAGGCTAATGTTGTTGAATTGCAAAATACTTCCCTAACAACCACTTTGCAGCAGCTGCTCTGAAAAAAGTGGGAGGAACCAAGCTAACTCTCCCACAAGACATGTGATGGAACTCAGTAGTGGCCTGTTTTGAGCACTATATCAAGAACCGATGACAATTTGTGAACAAAATCGTAAAAAAAATAGATGACACTGTCACAGCCAAAGTTTGGAAGGAACTAAGTGAGACCTTAAAAAGAGAAATATGCAATGACAGACTTAAATTACAAGCATTTAAAAAAAAAAGTGGGACAAGCACTATCTCCAGCTCATTTTCTTGCAAATATTCTCAATACTCGGTACCCGGGTCAAACCTTAACTGCTGAAGAAGAGGAGTTGGCAAGGACATGGACATGCAGCAATCATCCCTCCATAATGCCAACTATAATAAACTTCAGAGCTAAGGGTGAACCATTCAAGAAATATAGGTTTGCTGATGTTTTCAAGAAAGTCACACCAGTGAACCAGTGGAAGTCACTTAAGTACTTGGATTCAGAGACTGTTGAAGTGATAATTTCACTTTTAACAGCAGTAGCTGCTTCTTCTTCGGTCGGTGTAGAAAGACTATTTTCTTCATTTGAACTAATTCATTCCAAATTGAGAAATCGTTTGGGACCTGACAAAGCAGAGAAAACTTATTTTTCTTTTCCAGAATATGAACAAACAGGAAAATGAAGGTTAAGATGACCGAGTTAGCTACAGAAGCCAATATTTTAAGTTTCTCATGTTGACCTGGCTGACAGTAGATTTAATTTTTGTTTTTTTTTAAATATTTCATTTAACTATTTTAGTTAAAAACAATTTTAACAAAAACAAACCTGATTTTAAAAAACTTGAATGTTTAACTAAATTTAAAAACTCATATGCTTGTTTTGTTAAAATATTATATGTTTGGCATTGAAGAAAAAAAATCCAGAATACATAACATTGTTGTTTTAGTTAAATAAAACAATTTAAATGTCTGTCTGGTGATGTTCTCCTCCTAATACAGCATGGCAAGAAAATCCTCCAAATATTAATGATTAACCTGTTGAATTGGAGATAGTTCACGTCCTGATGACTCCATAAAAATCTGCTTCAATTACCTTTGCTAAATGAAATAACCAATCATTCATTTTCTGATATAGCTGTAAAACTAATGTGAAAAGTTTTCAAAATAAATCACTTAACAAAAAATATAGTAAAAAGAACAGGAGTACTTGTGGCACCTTAGAGACTAACAAATTTATTAGAGCATAAGCTTTCGTGGGCTACAACCCACTTCCACGGCTGCTACTCTGAAAAAAATATAGTATGTACCTTCTAAAAATGAAGCCTACATCTATCTCTGAGTTGTGAAGAATATGTATTAAGGTTATAACAACCAACAACAATGCACTTTTATGTAGAAATCTATTATTTAAATCACTAGTCAGGAAGACTTGATTAAATCATGATTTAAAATTTAAATCAACTCCATCCTGCCCCCCCCCCATAGAGCCCTGCACAGAGAGCACCCAACCCCCCACCATACACACCCCTGCA